TTTTACTGGCATTGATTAAATCCTTCTTGTTCATTAAAAATCGGTTTTATTTTACTATGACCAACCCTGTACATATAGCATCTATGTTTCACTCGAAGTAATTCATGATAATAAACCGTAGATAGAGTATAGAACTAGATGAGCTTCTAAAATAACAATAATAACTAAAGAGAGAAGGCATTCGCTATCTCACACGCTGTACGCTGATGCCTGGTCTATACCATAGTCTGTCTACGTAATAAACCTTTACAATACGGAGACAATAGATTTTCACATAACATGTTTTCTGAAAACTCAATATTTACAAACAGAAGTCTATGGAAGATTGTACTATATAGATTCTACGTGATAAATAATATACTTACACTTCGCTGGATGACATCCTACAACAATGTCAATTGCTAAATATATAGTTTTAATATTTGTGATTATTTATCACAGAACAGCATCAATCAAGTTTTCACGGGACATTCAAGCTATAGGTCTTCCTTATTACAAAATATCAATGACTTTAGGATCTTGTAGACGTAAGTAGTAAATGTGTATATAAGCAGGAACTATAAGCGTGTCTAGATATATAGCTATGCCCGATCCAAAAGTCTAGGCTTGAATTAGAAATTCATACGAGACCTAAATAAACCTAGATATGCCAATATGAAGCAGACTTCTAACATAGCATTAATATAATACAGTGATACATTTAGATTATAGTAAATTGACGAAATTGTGCTTATATAGCTATACCTAGAGCAAATAAAGTGTTTGTTTCAGGAAGTATACTTTTTAAAGAGGAAAAGGTATGGCCAACGATTAGACTTAATCGAGTAATTGATATTTATTACAAAAGCAGTAATAGTAAGTACTCACTAAATAACAAAAATTACGATTTATTTATTTTTACTGTTTGGTCAAAGAACCATCATTATATACAAGGGTTGCAAGTTTCATCTGTGTGTAAATTGAGTTAAGTAAATGGTAACGAAACTAATTAGTGTAGATAACACGTTATTATAATTAAACTATTAAGTAATCGATTTTTAAGTTGGTATCCAATTTATGGGTATCGATAAATTAATGTCTTCTTTCTAGGTGAAATCAAAGTTTCTCAAGTAAACATTTTCTTGATAACAAACAATACAGATTGTATTGCTTTTTCTGACATCGGAGTTGGATTATCAGAATTTAAAGCGACAATGTTTTATGCGACCAACACATGTACCACGTACTACAGGCTGACAATATTTACATGCGATATGTGATTGTTTTAAATAGCCGCCAGTTACATACTTCCGTATTGTATCGAAATTTCATTTAAGTTGCCATTTCAAAATTTACTTATTTTGTTTATTAGATAGCTTTTAAAATGCTTCCTTACATTGTACACAATATACTTATAAAATTTTCATTATTTGAAATAAGTGTAAATAGTCACTAATATTTATTGACTAATTAAAACTATAGCCCATGAAATATAAAAAATATAAATGTCAATTGTCACACAAAAAAGTGTTAACTGGCAACATAATTAGCAATGTTTATTTACGTACTGTCAGTGAAGTTAATCACACGCAAATCACAATACAATAGTCATTACGTACAAAAGCAAAAATTATAGTGTAATGATCTTACAACTGTAAAGATGTTTTGGTACCCATGGTCCGAAAGTATTAAAAAAAGAGCCTGTCGATATCTTCTCCAGCGTTATCTTGGAAACTTCTTGGAGGAAAAGCTAACTTTAGATCAGCTAAGTGTGGATTTATACAATGGAACAGGAACCGTATCTGAAGTCAGCCTCGACTGCGAGGTATGTTATCTTCAATACTTTGACTTGTACTGAACCTCTTCTAAGTTAATCTTACATCGTATTGCATTTAACCAGTTATTTAGAAAGCTAGGCGTGCAATGTTTTTCTCGCTCGTCCTTGCCAATTTTAAGTGCGCATTGCTTCTAGCACGTGTCGATTTTATTGTTTTGCAACAAAGAAAATGTTGCTATCAAAATCATTATTGATATTAATAATACAATTTAAAGTAAAGCTTTGGAATTTAAGGACATATTTCAGTGAATTCAGGATAGAAAATATAGATTTAATCATTAAGTAGCTTAATTGATCCACCTATAGATCCCGCAATATTTTTCTCTATTTATGAATGGTATTTTTGATTTGTGCTTGAAAATGACTGAAATATCTATTATCTTGAATTTAAATAGATGTTGTATAAAGTTGTTGTTGATATAAATTTGCTAATTTTATAATGTTTGGGTTTGGCTATCAATATTTGAGTTCATTAATAAAATATTAACCTTCAGATCTCTCAAGGTCCCCTAACTTATATATAGGTCATTAAAACATATAGATACACATTTTAAACTTCTTTGACTTCCTTAAATGTTTTCAATGTCAATAAATATTCTAGGGGGTAATACAATTTAAATAGTAATTTAAGAGTTGTTTTATCTTGTTTGCTTAGTAAAAAGTTATTTAATATGCATCAGAAAGAAGCAAAAATTTTAATAATATACTCACTGTATAATACGCACATACTCATAGGATTGGTTGATCAGAGGTGTATCCTATAATGAAATTAAAACTAATTTCTCTTATAATTAAATTAATTTGTATATTTCTTTTGTTTAAATTTTTAGGCACTTAATGAGCTTGGTGATTCACAAAATTGGCCATTGGAAATAGTTGATGGTCATATGCAAGGAATAACTGTAACAGTGCCCTGGTCAACATTACTAAAAGATGATTCAGTTGTTGAAATTAATGGCCTCTCACTCACTGTCCAGCCTAAAGTTCGAGTTGAACCAGGTTTGTAATTATATTTGCTATGCAACTTTTTATCTGTCTACATTTTATAATTATAATTAAAAAAACATGGTAATGGCACAAATTTATTCTAGTGTCCTCTATGTTGGAATCAATGTGGTCTTCAATGTCTTCATCAATGCAACTGGCTGCAGAGTGCCTCAGGGAGGAAACTGGCCCACAAGAAACCAATCCTGTGGAGGGCATTGAAATGTTTGCACATGCCATTGATTCAAGTATGTTAATTTGTTTGTTATTTATTAGACATGTGAAAATAATGTTTTTCAGTGTATTCAGCCATAACTCTCTCGCCAATACTTCGTATTAATAAATAGTATATTTATTAATTCAGCTAATGCACAATATACCCAAGTACTATCAAAAATGAAATCCTTTTTATTGATAATAATATATTGTAACCATATTTCTTTCAGTTCTCAGCAGGGTGAAAGTGAAATTTGTTAATACTAAAATCAGGATTGAACATGTGCCAAAAAACAGTAACAGAGGTATTGCCCTGGAGATACATATTAAAAGGTATGTATAACAGCATCTTAGTGCAAAGCATTACTTTATTTTTCACTCATACGAAATTAAAATATCAATATGTATATTTACAGCACAGATTATTATGATGAAGCTGGCTCCGAGTCAGTACCAGAAACATCTGAAACTGAGAAAAACAAAACATATGTTGTTGCAACATTTTCAAATAAAAAAATACAATTTTCTGGTGTTACATTTTACATAGATGAGTTTCCATCAAAGTTACGTACAATGGCACCTAGTTTGATCATGGAAAAGTCTGCATCAACTCAAGCTGATCGATCAGAAACAACTTCAGAAGCAGATCCTAACTACCAAAGCACACTCTCTGATGTTTTCTATGAAGCGAGAAGCGTTATATCTACTATAGACTCAGACCCCATAAGAGATATAGTAGAAGAAAGAAGAGATACTAGAGAAACCACTCCAGAAACTAAATCAAATCAACCTGATCCTATACTATTTGCAAAATTAACTGGACCTCAGGAGTTGATGCTAAAAATTAAGCATTCGGAAGAAATTGAAGGTCCAAAAGTGGAGGTCAAAGTTCTTTTGGGGTCATTCCTGATATTTTTAACTCCAAGGCAATTGCATACATTGCTTGAATTGTGTGATGCGTTAAATCAGCCAGACTTGGAAGATACAAGGTAATTTTGTAAGTTAAAATATATATTTAGAAGTGATAGTGAATATGAAATATTTATGTGTATAGACATTTATATCAATCTATGGAATGACTAATCACTCCATAGATTGATATACATCATCAACACTTGTTTTGTCTATAACCAATATCATTTTAAGGGCCATTAAATTAAAAAAATAATAAAGTTTTACTGTATGTAAATAAATAAATATTACACATTACCATGCCACTAAGTTGTAAGTAATTGACTAATATGAATAAATCTATTTAAGTAACATACCCCTGCGTCCAAGTGGAGTTAATGTTCAATGTAAACCGATGAAGCCGGCCGATTTTCAATTAATTGAAGCACAGTTACTTGGCAACCTGGAAAAGAGAGCTAAACCCACAGCTTTACATGGTTGGTCAGGACCTAGTGTCGGTAAGTTTCATGTATTTTCGATGCTCGGTTTATTATTAATTTATTTTTTTGTTAGTAAGATTTATGGGTTATAGATCCTTACAACACTTTCTATAACTTATTTTCACATGTGTATACAGTAAAACTCCTTGGCAAAAAGATATTTTGACTTGAACAATGCGGCTTTGTAAAGAAATTAGCAATTACTAATGACATTAGTCATTGAGAATCTTGGTAAAGTCATCAAAATCTGGTCATGAATGTTTTGTTATCTATAAAAACATTACAATGAGAAAGGTTTGTATGTTTGTGTAACAATAAAAACTACTGGACCGATTTCATTCATTTAATTATATTTGAGTAGTCTGCTAAATTTATTTCCAAAACATTAAAAATATGTCCAGCCGAAGGAGTATTTAAAACTACCTTAGTTTAAAATTAAATACTATACTGTTATTTGTAGCCTGAATATATATTTTCAGAGGATAGTGACAGTGAGAAGTTCCACCCGATGACGTCTGACGCTCAAATGTCAGAGAGCTTCAACTCTTCTGTCAGTTCCATGAGCGCTAGTATGACGTCCAGTCTTAACGTCC